TAATCTAATGCCACCTAGCAGAGTGTCACTGAAAGCTCCGAATCCTATACCTCCACTTGATCCTCCAACTAGGAGCAGAGATAAAAGGTGAAATCGTTTTCATTTTGAAGGTCTTTAACAATTTTGCTTGTTTATTATACTTCTCAAATATTGGTAGTCAAAGGGAATATGTGGCTTAGTTGAATATGTCAAAACCAGTTTAGTTAAGTCTTTGGAGTTGGTATTATAATCTATTTTTTTTCCCTCAAAGCCTAATAAAAAAAGAGCTTGCTATAGAGGTTTACAAGATATGGGAAGTGAATGGGCTCCTTGCTTGAGGAGATAGTGATTGCCTCTGGTTTTGGTTGTGCTGCTTATGTCTAATTCGAGATACGCAATGTTTTTAGGTTTTTTGCTGATGTACCATCAGTAAATTCAAAAATAAAGGGTGATCAGCGGGAAGCTTCAGCTCTTCGTGATGAAGTATGTGATGCTTTCTTTTAACCTTTGGGATATCTGGTCAATTTTCCTTGTATTCATATAGTGGAAAGTATAGTCAAAGTATGGTCAATGAGTCAGAAGATCTGATTTGAGGCTGAATCAATTTTAACTGCAGCTGGATATGCTACAAGAGGAGAATGAGAATGTATTGGAGAAGGTTCGATGTTTGTCATGGAAAATTATTTCAGATAATAAAGCTGTTTACCTCCTTGTGCATAACATTTATTCTTCATTGCAGCTTCGTCGTGCGGAGGAAAAAAGGGTGGAAGCAGAATCTAGGGCTAAGGAGCTTGAGAAACAGGTTTTTGAACCAGTTGTCTTGAGTAGTTATTTCGTTTACTGATGTTGCTTCTTGAAATTCTGAGGGAAAAGTTTCCCCACTCGTTTAGGTCTCTTTGTTGACAATGGTTATTAAACTCAAGTCAGCTATTGTTATCTTGTTGATGCAGCCTCCTGCCTCGTTGCTTTTTATGCATCTTTAGATTTGTTTCAAGGAGAGAATGTAAATATGTATCAATTTTTTAGTTAGTAACAATCCAGCTGTAGATGCTGAGTGTATACAAATGCTTTGAACCTAGACTCTGAGTCATATCTCGTATAAGCAGGTCTAGTGAGAATCCAGATGGCGATGCAGACTATATTTAGATCAAAACATATACAGATGGACTAATTTATTCTTATGTGTCTGGAACATTTAGATTTGTTTATTTAAATTTTACTTGGAATTCATGTATTTAAGTATTGGCATTTGTACAACGTTTACATTTGTTTTATTTTTGGTCCCAAAAGGTTGCCTCTCTTGGAGAAGGAGTGTCCCTGGAGGCGAAATTGTTAAGCAGGTGGGAACCTGTGCCTTCTATTACTTCTCTTTGTTTTTATCTTTTCCAGAAAATAGTGTGGTAGTTATGATCTCTCATGGTAAATTGTGTCTTTCTATAGGAAGGAAGCAGCATTGCGTCAAAGAGAGGTTAGTGTGAACAAAATAAAGTACCTTCACGCTACTTTCCACTCAGATTTAGTCTTCTCTTTAGTAGTTTTTTTTCTCCACCATTCTGATCCCATAGCAAAGTCTTAGATTTACACTTTTGGTGAAACACACAATTTAAGCTGTACAGAAAAATTGTACATGTTACAGGCTGCTTTAAATGCTGCTAAACAGAAAAAGAGTGGGAAGGATGAGGAAATTGTTTCCCTACGTTCAGAACTTGAGGTAAGGTACACTGATGAACTGGTTTCCATGAGATGTACCACTTTTATTTGCACAATGAAACCATCTCTTATTTTTCCCTGCTATGTTCAGAACTTGAAAGATGAGGCTACAACTGCTGCAGAACGGCTTCAAGAAGCTGAGTCTGAAGCGAAGTCTCTTCGCACAATGACTCAAAGGATGATTTTAACACAGGACGAAATGGTTTGTTGATAATGCTTTGTCTCGCTATCTACTGATCATTTATAAATTTATGAATATCTAAATTTATGAACTACTGAATCATCTAGGAAGAAGTAGTCCTGAAGAGATGCTGGCTTGCCCGGTATTGGGGTTTGGCTGTACAATATGGTATCCATTCTTAAACAGAAGAGCTTATATTCTGATCTAAAGATATTCTTGTAATACACTTTTCACTTTCCTCCTATAACTATTCATCAGATTCACATATATTTGCTTTTTCCTATTGTGTCCTTTTTGTAGGCATTTGTGCGGATATAGCAACATCCAGGCATGAGCACTGGTCAAAATTAGCTCCTCTTCCATTTGAGCTCGTCACCTCTGCAGCACAGAAGGCCAAGGATTTATCCTGGGATAAAGGCTCGTCTAAATATCTACAAACTTCTAAAATACTAAAGTTTTCCTTGCCTACTGTTGTTCACAAAATATTTTATTTACAAGCTTACGAAATGGAACAGGTGGGAGTGATCAGAGTAAGGCTGTTAGAGATTTGAATGATCTAACTGGAGAAGGAAATATCGAGAGTATGCTTTCAGTTGAGATGGGTTTGAGAGAGCTAGCATCATTAAAGGTGTCCACTCTTGTTTCTGAATTACCTATAAGTGTTGTCACCTAGCATAGATCTTTAATGGCAATGTTTTTAAATCTTCTTCTCTCTTTTGACATTCAGGTTGAGGATGCTGTTGTGCTTGCATTCGCCCAGCAGAGAAAACCGAGTTTGATTCGTCAAACTGTGTCTGGTATGTATGTAATTACGAGCTTTTAACACCAGGCTACTGCACAATGAAAAATATATGCTTAACTTTTGTTAGCTTCTATTCTTATAATGCTTAAACGGTGGATGAGTATTCTATTTTCTGTTTAGATATGTAACACCTATAAGCTCTTTATAAGAATGTTGCACCTTATATGACTGTCACTTCCTGTATCTGCTTCAAAAAAAGATTATGAATATCCAGAGTGACCAGGTCACATCCAGACTAATGCAATAAATTTGTGACATCCTCCATAACTAAAAGCAAATGTTAAATCATGTTTTCCTCTATCTTACAGATTCCAAAGGTCATGGAGAATCCAGATTTATAGATGCATATGGTAAGTTAAAAAGTCTCTCTAATCAGATTTATAGATGCATATAAATTTAGAGATTCCAGAGGTCATGGAGAATCCAGATTTATAGATGCATATGGAAAGTTACAAAGTCTCTCTAATTGGATTTATAGATGCATATAAATGTATAGATTCCAGAGGTCGTGGAGAATCCAGATTTATAGATGCATATGGTAAGTTAAAAAGTCTCTCTAATCAGATTTATAGATGCATATAAATTATAATGCGGTGTCTTTGGTTTTTAATTTATAGACACATAATCTCATCATATGTCAACGTCATCAGCCATATTGTGAATTTTTTCTTACAGTGTTCTCAATTTGTTTTAAATGCAGAACTGGGTGAAGCAGAACAAGAAGATGTTGCCTTTAAGCAGGTACTTTCTCATCATCATATACACTTTTCCTTCAATTCACTTGGTTTTAAACCGACACTTACCTATATGGCTGGATCTTGATGGATATCAATTGGTATCCTGATTGAAGTTTGCCTCTAACTAGAAAGACAGACGTATACAAATTCAAAACAATG